GTTTGTGAATATGCCATATATGAGAGAGGAATTTGTTTCATTTCTTTCTGTAAACTCCCACATGGAGACTATATTAAGGGACGGTACACGTATATTCACCTACTTTATCCAGGAAATCGGTTGCCTGGTAAACTTAAGCTTACCCAGGAGATTTTTTTCCATTATATTCTTATATCCCTTTTTATATCCTAAGATTTTGGGGTCACTCTCTGTGCTTCCTCGGGTGGTTGCAGACCTCTGATTATTTCGTCCGCAGGTGACCACATTGTCAGAAGTCCTCAAAACTGAAAGATCTTTTTCTCTCATGCACAAGTCCATTCTTTTTTCATTGTTGGTCTGTTCAGGACCTCCTCTTTCTTCTTCTCCAGATGTTTGCATCAGAGCTAAATATGTTCATTATTCCATTAATGGCTACAAAACATTACATTGTTTCTTTACTCTTTGTCAAGAGTACTTGAATAAATTGCAATAGCATTTTTTGATGTTCTTAATGTTTATCGGTGTGCTCTGCCGTTAAAACTCTGTCTCCTTTAGACACCTGACGGTTAAAAAGCTCCCTGTGTGTACAACTGGTGAAGTGAACCATCCAGAAGAAATGAAATCTGTGAGCTGAGTGGAAGCAGGAAGCATAAATAATGATAAGAAGCAAATGAAATTTTGATTGAAGAGAAAAAAAACATCAAATCTAAATTGTCAAGTATGTTTAGTGTGGGAGATTATGCAACTAGGGAAGACATAATAAGTGGTCCACTGAAACTAAATTTGAAATTAGCATGTACAAAAAAGGCCTTTAATGGTATATTAGTGAGGCAGTGCACAATTCACAAAAGCAGCTTTGTGAATCTGTGGTAGCTCGCTATTCTTTTGGCCACACCTAGTTTGTTAAATAGTGTGAAATAAGTCTAGATATCACTATTTAAATAATTTACACAGCAGTAGCCAGCACCATATAATTCAATGTATACAATTATGAACTTGGCAACACCAGCCTGATTTCAGTTCCTGAAAAAGATGGATTTTTGTTTTAATTAAAAATAGGTAAACCTCACTAAGGTCATCCCACTGCTTGGTCCTTATGTTTTTTTCTGCAGGTTCAGGATTTCACTCTTAATATTAATTATGGTTGGTTCTTTTTTCCTTCACTTTGCCTGCAGCTTGCTGTAGATGTTTTGGCCCACTGTGTTATTTGTAGCCATTGGCTGACAGAATTTGACCTTGTTTCTGAGCTCTGACATGCACTGCAGTGATGGGGAAAAATGAACTATATTTCATGATGCCTCATGAGTCAAGCGAAGCGAAATGATCAGAGGCAGTGGGGTAGAATTATCTTGAGTTCTTTAAGTCACGTGACCAGTCTACTTTAAAGTCAGTGAACTGGAGTAAGTAGTTATACTTAAAGTGAAGTCTACACACTCATATACAAAAGAATACAACACTTTTATTCTGTATCTGGACAGCAACTCGAGATTCTGATAAACATGGATCAAACTGTAAAGAGGGAGATTAGAAATAATTGAAAAATGTTTAAACTTCACCTCAGCCAGTGTCTCTCTCTCATAGCATTGTTCATTGCATGCCTGAGGACATTATTTTTAACTCTGTAAGGAGATGCAAATGTTTTCTTTAATGACAATTTTCCTTAATGTGAGTAGTGTAACCTGTTTTATTGTTAAGGTTCATATAGAATTAAGTGACCTATTGCATAAAAAACAATAAATAACATTTTTTAAATTGTATAGAGTTTTCACAGTATTCCCTGACGATTGTGACGTGCACCAAAAAAGTAATTATAAACATAAAGCATATGTTTATCTTAAACATGACATAAGGTTTTGGTATAAGGTTCTATATGTGTACTTCAAATACAGATTAGTCTGTGATCTCCTTCTCTAATCTGCTATGTCTCCTCCCTGTGCCATTGTATTTTGGGCTTGGGGGTTGTGATGTACTGTACCGCCACTAAACACACACCACATCTTTTGCTTGTTTATCCCGCATCATAGTCTGTTTGCATTGTCAAATTCACTGCAGGTAACTTTAGACTGCCATGATTAAACTACACTAATGGCATAAATAAATCAGAAGATGTTTCAAACATTTCTTTTTCGAGAAGTAACATACTGTATATTGTTGTTTTGAGGTGTGGAAAGGTCTGGAACTGCGTAGGGAGGGATAGGTATTGCATCCCATTTAGAGGTCAGGCTTGGTTAAGGTTTGGAAAATAGCTGAAAGCAAGAACTTGTCAATTACTTGTCTATTTGCATAATCTGAGTCAGAGTCATAATTACAGTATTATTTTAATTGTTCCACAGGTCTGCATTTGACTGGCAAAGCTGCAAGAGCAGAATGATATGGATTAAGATATTGGCTTTTCATAATTGTTTTAAAAGGCTTAAGACTGTATATACTGTATGGTATGGAGCATGAAAATACAGTAAAATGCCATGCATTTCAAATATGATGTCCTTTCAGGTTAAAAAAGTGTTTAATAATAACATTCTTAACAAAATACAAAACTATATATTTATATGTGCATATAGAAATATATATATATTACAATTCTTAAATTTTTTAATATTTACCTCATGGGAAACAGTGTTCAAGTGTATTTTGTGCTAAAACAATGTAGAAAAAGAAGTTTTAAAACTGAGTGACATTTTACAAGTTGCATTTTAAATTTGTTAATATATTAATAAACCAATAAGTAAATATCAAGATTGTTGTAAGATTTGTAGTGTCTTACCTCTTTGAATTGCATTAGTACTAATTTCTACCTGTACAGAATACACATTTGAAATTGGGTATTTTAGATAAAATACAAAATTATATAATAGAATCCATTAATTCGATTACCATTTGATAGGTAATAATTGTGAAGCCCTTTCAAAAGTTCATAGAAATTAAATTTATATTTAGGCAACAAGTAATAGTAGTTTTTAGTTCATTTGTTGTGCAATATGTTATGTATATGTAATATGAAACAACAAAAAGTTTTTAAAGTTTTTAAAATTTCAGATTTTAAAGGTTTTCTTTCCACAGCATCTAACCCCCGAATTAAAACATAATAGTGTGATTATTCTGTTTTAGAGTTGAGGAAGATTGTTTTTCTATAGGAAATTTAATTCCATTACCATGCAACTGCTCTATGTCAAGCTGAAAATCTGTTAATTCATCAGAGGCTGGTCAAACGCAGTGCCAGTACGTCATTTTAGGGTGGCTTTTTATTTAATCTTTATTAAGTGAAATTAAATTTTAAATATTTAGTGCCATTATCTGTGGTTATAATTCTCTGAACTAACTAACTCATGTCTGCTACACATTTGAAAGTTAATTTAAAATCAGCAAAGAAATAAAATGAAAGGCCTCATAATTTGCTGACCTTATGTCCACTATTTCAACCAATATCCTTTTTGCTTCAAGGAACAAAGAAAGATGCATGAGATATTTAAAATCTGACAGCATATTTTAGCTGCTTATTCAGATATTGAACTAGATATTCAGATATGTCACTAATGCCAATGTTGAAACAGGGCCTGAATTCTCTCCTTCTTTGTCATTCCCCCCACCCTGGTAATAATGAGCTTTGATAGGGACTGCCTCAGCTCTCTTAACAGTGACTTTCTACATGTCATGAATTAAGACCTAACAGGAATCTCTCACTTTGTTTGGTTCTCGTTGCTTCTTTAGTGCTTTGTGAATCATATGCCTGAGGCTCCGTCCCATTCTGGGAATGGCAACACTTGACATAGACTGAATGTGATGAAGTGGAAGTGCCAGGATACTACAGGCTGCATCTCAGAAACCTGCACCTCCACAACATGTGCGTGTGCACGCACACACAAGTGCATAGCAGTAGATTGCTAGTTCCACAGTCATTTTCCAGAATAGCTTTCCGTCTTAGAGAGTGTTGAATGCCATATACAGTAGTTCAACTTTCTTTGATTTCAGAAAAATGTAGCACTTGCAAACTATTTGGTACAGTATGCTGTGAGTCTTAGGTCAAGTAACTTAATGAAGGGATGCTTAGAAAATTTACTTTTATGTTATAAATATATTGGACATTTGATTTTTGTAATTGTTTTTGGTAATTGACTTTGAATGGTTGTTTCTTATTTTGTATTTTCCACCTTGGGCAATTTTCTATAGACATTTTGTTGTCTGCATTGTGTTACTGATATAAACTGTATATACAGCAATATACAGCAATACAAATATTTTTTACTGTTGACTTAAAGGACCTGACTACTTGGAATAGAATATGAAATTTTGTCTTGTTTTTCACCTTCAATCAATCCAGTTGTATTCAAATTATAATCATGTTTCACCTGGTGGCTGAGAGGGAAATACTGAGTTAGGTCTCAGACTTTTAATAGTATAATCGAATACATGTGGGAAGATATACAGTAGCTTTATCTGGAAAGCCTCAGATATGTTCCTGGAACAACCTGCATTTGTATAAGATGCAAAACGAACATAAAGGGAAAATCCATCGGTAGGATTATGCCTTGATAACACAGGAAAGTAAATTGTCATGGCTATACATACCAATTTTAGTCCATAGTTTTGTGAAGACATGGGACCTAAAATAATCCATAACCACTTTCAAACTATGTCTAAAGTGGTGTATAGCTTTTAAAATAAAAAACTGAAATGTCTTTGTGGTTTCTTAGGCAATGTAACAGTCGCTTATTTTTATTTGTTTCTCTTTAGTGCTACATTTAAAAAAAACATGATTGTTATTTTAGGACTTTTTTGTACTATTACATGCATCCTATGATATGCTACAAACTATATAAATGTAATTTTAATTATGAGATAAGGCATATTCTATATTGCAGGGAACATGCAGTGTACATTCTCTAACATTAGGGATTTTATGACTTAAAATAGGTTTTCAATTTGGAAAGTTTTTCAATTATGAGGATCTCTTACATATCCTTCACACTTTTATTTTATTCTGTATGTCAAGATGTTCTTGCACTTCAATAAAAAATCAGAGCTTCAGAAAACAGCCCATAGATGTTTTATTTTAAACCACAACACAATGAATAGTGCAGCCATGTCATTTAGGGGCACAACACATGCTACAAAAATCTTTACATTTTAAATAGTTCTTGCTTGTTTGAATTTGGTATTTGATGATAATACACTTTAATATTCAATACAAACACTTACTGGGCAAATATATTATTGTAAAGTTTGAGTTAAACCAATAGGGATTCATTTCTCTTCAAAGCAAGGAAGCTAATGATTTTGTTTGTCTTAATTATGCAGTATCCTGAAACAAAGACTAACAAATGTCTCAATGATTATTCTCATCAGTATACATCTTGCCACATGAAAAAAGCTTAATGCTGTTTCATTACAGAAATGTAGTTTCTTAATTATAGGAGTGTGGTAATAACTTTATTATTGCAGCTTCATTAACAATTCTTCTTTACAATTATTTGCAGTTTATATTCTCAGTTGCACAGCCTCGGTCTTGTCCTGTATGCAGAATACTGCAACATTAAAAACATTGGGATTATATACAGTTTGCATGTTGAAGGGAGGAACAGGGGAATAAAAAAGTCCTACAAAAAGTTAATAACAATGCAGTACACTGGTATACCAAACACAAGACTAAAAGGGTTTCTTCTCATGGTAGCTGACTAAAGAACTGCATTTGTAAAGTTGTTTTGCTTGTTGTACTTTACACTCATTTGAAACTGAAAGAGACAGAGAGAGAGAAAACATTTTGCACCTTATAGAATGTTGCATTGCTCAGCCCCAAGGGATTTTATGTCAGTATGCTCCCTATTCGTAGGCAGGTGGAATGACTTTCTTTAAAAAAAAATGCAATGCCAAGCTTTTCACTAAAAATATTCTTTTTTGTTGATGCTTTTTTAATTGCTTGTCTTGGAGGGCGTCACATTTAGCTGGGAATTCAATACAAATTATGATGCACTTTTTGGGTATTTTTTAAAAGTATGCTTGGCCACAGACTGCTGGAGTTACAATGTTAAATATAGTCAAATAGTGATTATTTCTTCCTCTTCAAGGTCTTCAAGGCTTGCAAGTAAGCAGATCTAAATAGATAGGTGCTATAAGAATTTCAGCAACACAGATACTATTACTTATAAGGAAACATGCTCCCACAGTTACTCAAATAATGGCTCAACGAATCACAAATATACATCCCATACACAATACTGTACGTTATTGAAGGACCTATGGCAATAGGATATTTGTTCCTATGTGCTTTTTACTGCATTTATTCCATAAGGCTTTGACTTGTTTTGATTCATAGGATGCAAATGAGGACAGATTTTAAGGCAGAACCTAAAGGCATGCACATAAACTACATTTATATTCACCAACAGTACAAGCACATGTGAGAGAAGCAGCCTGATGAATACTAGAATCCATCTCTTTGTCCGTCCAGTTTCTGATTTATAGATGGATACATAAGTTATTAGGAACAGTTACATTACCATGGGAATTTGGTTTTATTAATCTGATATATGAAACACACAGCTAGCATCAGTAAACATGTACAATAAATAGTAGCTTAATTCAACGCATCACATTACTGATGCACAAGCTCCAGTGGGATGAGACTGTATGGAAATTGCACACTTCACATTTGGCAGTTTAGTTTTTAAATAATATATTTTTATATTTCATATATTATATATACTGTATATATATTTAAAATTGTTTTAGCAAATGACATTCTCATGCACACAAGTGTTTCAAACACAAGAAGCGAGTCCATTGAAAGGTAGTCCAAGCATTTTTTTTTCGGTGGAAATAGCTGCAAACTGAATGGAACATTTAACTTTTGTGCAGTCCATAATGCTTTGACGCCACCTCATTTCTGAATGTCACATTGAAGGAGTAATACAATGGATGGATCACTCTTTGCAGCTTCTTTGAACTCATCCAGTGTGATCTGATCATCGTTGTTCTTATCCATCTTGCTGAAAATCTTGTCTACTCGCTGTTCAGGTGTGAGCCCATCCTCATTCATTTTCATCATAATGACGGTGCCTACCATTTTGTAAATAGCCTTTTTTGAATAAAAAAAGAGAACACATCAGATATCATTTCCATGTTATCACAGATTTGGAAAATGCAGTGGTTCTGAGCAGTGCATTACTCCCCCCCCCCACACACCCAAGACAAATCTGTAAATTTCTCTCTGGTATTATCATTTTGGTTCAGGGTTATTATACTTTCCTGCTGCTGCTTGAGAAATGTGTTTTTCTTTTATTGTGCCTGAGCTCTTAAATTCATAATCAGAGCCTTAATCAAACTAATTATATATTCAAATAGAACTCTTTAAGTGTTTTCAAGAGAAATATATAGGAATTGTCAAAAACTCTGATTTACCAAATAATGGCTTAAACTGTGTAAGTGACACAAGAGTCATAAATGTCCTCTATGACCAGTGTTTGAACCTTCTGATTTCAGCTCTGGTCATAAAACCTGATATGTTCTGTCTCGTGGACAGAATGTTTGTCTTAAAATCGAATATAAGAAACTGTGGAAAAGAATATCCCATCCCTGATTGTCATTGGTGGAAATGTGCAACTTTAATTATAAAAGGAAAAAACCTGAATTGCAAAAGTTTATCGAACGTTACAAATACAGAATAATTTCCCCTTTCCATTAGAAAGCTTTTTTGTAAATCAATGCTAATGTCTGATGCAATATTTGTTCTCAGAAATATTTTAGAAATCTTATTAATCTTAAGCAGTGTACAAGTATTCTGCCATTGTGAATCACAAGCCGATGAGCACAGTTATCCATGATGATTTTTTCCTGTAGCCTTATGCCACTATCAGGAAGAACAGAGACCTACAGTCAGGTTAAAAAAAGTAAGTACACCCTCTTTCAATTCAATTGTTTTACATATCAGGGCATTAATAACAATCGTCTGGTCCACACTAACTTCTATAATTGGACAAATCTAGCCTCAGATGACTGTCAACAGATAATATATTTCACTGTGTCATTATTTATTCAACAAAAGGTAATCCAAAATGCAGAAACCATGTGGGAGAAATTAAGTATACCTTTACTGGTATAAGGGTAAGGTAAGCCAGGTGCTGCTAACCAAATGCACTTGATTAGTTGATCATCAGGAAGTGTGACCACCTCTATAAAAGCAGAACGTTTGGCAGTTTGGTGGTCTGGAGCATTCAGGTGTGTGTTAACACCATGCCAAGGAGAAAAGACATCAGCATTGAACTCAGAGAAGCAATTGTTGCTGCTCATCAGTCTGAGAAGGGTTATAAGGCAATTTCCAAACAATTTAAAACCCATCATTCTACAGTAAGAAGGATTATTTATAAATGGAGAACATTCAAGACAGCTGCCAATCTTCTCAGGAGTGGGTGTCCCAGCAAATACATCCCAAGGTCAGAACGTATAATTCTCAGAGAAATCGCAAAGAACCCAAGACCTACATCTAGGGATCTACAGGCCTTGGTTAAAGTTCATGACAGTACGATCAGAAAAAGACTGAACAAGTATGGCCTTCATGGAAGGTTAGACAGGAGAAAGCTCCTTCTCTCCAAAAAGAACAGGACAGCACTGCTTAGGTTTGCAAAGTTGCATCTGGACAAACCACAAGATTTCTGGAACAATGTTCTTTGGACAGATGAGACCAAAGTGGAGATGTTTGGTCATTATGCACAACGCCATGTTTGGCGAAAACCAAACACAGTGTATCACCACAAACACCTCATACCAACCGTCAAGCACGATGGTGGAGGGGTGATGATTTGGGCTTGTTTTGTAGCCACAGGACCTGGGCACCTTGCAGTCATCGAGTCGACCATTAACTCTTCTTTTATACAAAACTATTCTAGAGACAAATGGGAGGCCATTTGTCTGACAGCTAAAGCTTGGCCGAAATTGGGTCATGCAACAGGACAATGATCCCAAGCACACCAGCATATCTACAACTGAATGGCAAAAAAAGAAAAGAATAAAGGTGTTGGAATGGCTAAGCTAAAGTCCAGACCTCAGTCCCATTGAGATGCTGTGGCGGGACCTTGACAGAGCTGTGCATAAATGAAAGCCCTCAAACATCAATGAACTGAAGCAATGCTGTAAAGAAGAGTGGGCCGAAATTCCTCCAAAATAATGTGAGGGACTGATAAACTCATACAGAAAGCGATTAGTTCAAGTTATTGCTGCTAATGGTGGTTCTACAAGCTACTGAATCATGGGGTGTACTTCGTTTTTCACACATGGCGTCTGAATGTTGGCTTATTTTCTGTTAAATAAATAATGACATAGTGGAATCTGTTATGTGTTGTTTGTCACCTGAGATTAGATTTACCTAATTTTAGGATCTGGTAAGGACCAGATGATTTTTTGTTATGTCCTGATATATAAATTGATAGAATTGAAAGAGGGTGTATTTTCTTTTTCACATGATTGTAACAACTACTCTATCATGTGCTTGTAGGCTTGGCTTTCCATAAGCTATATAATAAACAGTATTAAGGCTTGTTTGCAAACCTGGTTATAATTGTTAAATTAAGACATCCCACTGATAAAGAGCAAAAGGTGCTTAGTACTCACTATACCATTCCTAAATATACTCTGATGTTGATGAATCATGGAATTAATATATATCAAGGTTTAAGCATAGCTGTACATTTTGCCCTAGGCATCTACCAACATCTCCAGTCTTGTGAAAGGGCTTTTGCAGTCATAAGTTGCACATATCAACTCATGTTTAAAAAAAGGCATGTCTTCAACATATCAATTTCTTTCTAGCACACAGGCATCCTATTTCTGACATGATTATCACAATTTGTTTTTAAAAATCGTTCTTCCCTCGCACTGCACATTTATTCAAAATGACAAAATGGAGAAATGTTACTGTGGTCTCATACAGTACTACACACTAAAAATTGCTTGCTGCAAAACTATTAAGGTGCTTGTTATATAAAAATGTAATATGCTTCCAAAATAGATGTCTAAAGCTTTGACCTACATCTACTACAGCAATAGGATGATGGAAAATATTTGGTCCTAACTATACACCATTATAAATAATCACATTAAGGGTTCTGTCATTTTAATTCACACAATAAATCAGGCAGATTCCACCTTGAATCCATGAGACCATATTTCAATTTTGCTAGATTTCGCTGGTAATCCTCTAATACACAGACCTAGTGAGGCAACCATATATGGGTATATACAAACCCATAAAAGAATTATGGGACACAGGTTGATTAATACCCCAATGTGGCATTGTTTTCTAATGAAAGTGTGATGTTTACCAGGTGTAACAAGTGAGCATATAATGTAAACACCTGTATTTTATTTCTTTAACACACAACCTTTTTCAACATGCTGTAAAATGGTAACTTAAACCTGGGATGTAGCATCATTTGATTAGTAACAATCATCTATAACATAACAATGCACTCTGCAACTTCAGTGTCATGTAAACACAACAGGAAGAGCTAAAGTCTTATTCCTTCAAATTAACTACCATTTTTTTCTCAGTTTCTTACCTCTATAATCTCCAACATCTCCACTCGTGTGATTTTGCCATCACCATCCAAATCATACATGTTGAACGCCCAGTTCAACTTCTGCTCAAAGCTTCCCCGTGATGTGATAGACAGTGCACAGATGAACTCTCTGAAGTCGATGGTCCCATCACCGTTCTTATCAAAGGTCCTAAAGGCATGCTGGGCAAACTTTGAGGCATCGCCATATGGGAAAAACTGAAAAAATCAAGAGTAATATTACAACTTTAATTAACAAATTTAAATTTGTTTAAATTTTAATTATTTCATTTAAAAATAGAACAATGACATTCATCATCCTTATCATAGAAATCCATTTTGTTTATAGAAGCTTTTCACAGAACCCAATGAAACAGTAGTAAAACTACATTAAATGCTAAACTTTTGACAGAAAATAAAGTTTTAAGTGAGTTTAAAAAATGTTGACAGTTGGAGCCTCTCCATTGATTTTAGCCTATGAGGCTAAAGGTCCTTTTACTGCAGAAGAGAAATCTGTCAGCCATTATGTGAAGCATGGTTTTCAGTAGAGTAAGAAGGCCTGAATGAGCAGATCTCAGATTAATGGTTCTACTATATTCATGAAATATATACTTTATATCATATGTCCTATGTGTATCTAATACTGCTGTTGCTTGTTCAAAGAACCCTAACACGTTGGTTAGACAAGAAGTACCTTTTATAAATTTATGTTGACTATTTCCTAGAATATTATTTCCATATATTGGGTCCTCTAGTTTAGTCCTAATAGTTGTTAAACTATTGTATTGTTAAGTTGTTAAGGTAAAATCAAGGTTTCCAACTGGAGTCAAGGCTTTAATTGTCACAGACTCTGAAGTCACTAACTATGCAAAGCAATGTTTTAATCCTATGAGCTTAACCTCAGTCTTCGCGCAGTTTTACATAAGAATGTTTTGTCACTATCTAAATATTAAACAGGCACCATAGAAAGGCAGAAATCACAGAGATCAAGGTTGGCCTGCAAACTAACATAAGTGAATATTATGTTATCATAGCCAAGTCCACTGTGGTAAAAAATATGACCAAGAAACAAGAAGTAAATACCCAACAGTAAAGATCCCAGCACAAAGCCCTGTGGAAGAGTCTATATAAGCAGGACAACATCAGATTTAAAACAGTCTATATTAACCTAACCATGAAGGGAAGTGCCAGTTTTCGTTTAATAATTTTGTGCTCCATGTGCTCCAGTAGGACATTGTGTTTGACAATATTTAATGCATTTAAGACCAGAAGGAGGAGAATATTAATTTGCCCAGAAGCAGACGTAATTTGCAACATTAACTTAAATCACTTTTTATTTTCTTTGTTCAAACCCCAACTAGAAAGGGTTATCAATCTCATTAGATGAGACTGTCATTGAGCTGCCACTGTCCATTCCTGAATTTCTGCTACAAAAGGTAAATTGGTTGCAGGACTTTAGTTGTAAAGCAATTGAGAGTTCAGGCCAGTTATTTTTAACACATGATTGATAGCGATAAAGATAATTGATGGAAAAGATGAAAAGTGTGTCTCAAACATTGGTTGAGCAAACAATATGTTAAGAAATTACACACAACATGCCATAAAATAACAAAAATAAAGTTATACCTGTACATAGCAAAAAGGTGCATTTATGGTACCGGGCACACATCTGATGCTCATAAAACTTTACTCCAGCCTTCAGCCTCGGCAAGCGAAATCCATTATTGAGTGGTCTGCATTGTGGATTTGTATTTTGTCTGACTGAATGCAGCTGAAATGATCCTTGCAGAGTAAATCTCATTGACTTTAACTTGTTCTGGCTCTTAGCATGGGCTTTACTGCAGACCTTTTTTTTCCATTTGCAAAATACAATGCTTTTTACAGACAGAAACTGCTTCCAATTTCACACACATTTATATGTGTAAAATATACAACATACCAACCTCTTTTAGGCAAACTGCGAACTTCATTAACAGCCATCTGAAGTCAAATACTGAACCCTGCTGCTTGCCTGCAGTGCTGGCTGTTTCATATATTGGTGGCAAGCTGCATTTTCTTTAGTTTTGGATATTCTAGGAAAATTCAAGCCAAAAATGACCACACAGCCTTCAAACTAAAGCTCCCATTCTTTTGTTTCATTTTTGGTCACTTGTGTTAGCATTTAATTTTGCATTTAAAATGTTTATTAGTTCAAAACTGGTATGTACAAGCACCTAAGAAATATAGAAATAATTCAGGTACTTTTGTCAACTCAATAATAATGATTGTTCATACCTGTCATACTATACGTTTGTATCCACTATGCATTAAAGTATACAGATGATATAAACAAGTATTTTGAAACATTTTAAATTCTGATTTATTTAATATAAAAAGTCTTTATTTTCTGTGCTAAACTGTCTGAAGAGCAATGATATTATGTTTGGAAATGACAGAAGTGCTAAAATAAATCCTTACTGAACTAATACATTATTTGACTCTTTAATTAGTGAGACCTAATTAACATGTTAAACATATAAAAACATCAACCAAACAAATAACTAGTTATAAGAGTCCCACCCCAAAAAAAGAGCCTGTCAAGTGTTGTGAATATTGTTTCTGGAGAACAATTTTCTCTCTTCGTTTCTAGGTCAGGTTTTAATGATCTGCATCAGCTCATTATTATCTTAATTAGACCAGGATAACAAAAACTCCCATGTCTTCAGGAGGTGGGGCTTTAAGAAGCCTAGAAAATCAGAATCACACTTCAGGACCAGAATAAAAGATTACAGCTTTAAAGCATTACATGAAACTGAGTTTCTAATATACAAAAAATAGTTGGTAAGAACGATTGTAAGATTCCTGTGCAACAGCATGGAGAGCAGACCGATGTGGATCACAGTAATTAATGTTAACAGTGCTCTGACAACACCAAAGCCAGAGGAGGCCTAAATCCCTGAAACCGACATCGACTCCAAGGTCAATGCCATTTTGGAATATAAGAATTCCTATTGAAGGAGCACTCACATGGCAGTTTCGGACAAGCTACAGCAGATGCAGAATCAGCCGTGCAATAAGAGACCATATGCCTCCTAATCTCTAGCTTGTGTCAGAGTGACACAATAACCCTAGCAACATTCTGAACATTGCTTGATGCTTCAACATTGCAACGCATTTTACATCAGACAGCCTGAAAAATCCCTAAGAAGTCAAGAAACACATTAATGAGGTGCTATGCTTTCAATACAGCAGCTTTTGTAGTTTGTACTGAAGAGAACTCAGACCTTTGATCAACAGGATTAAAGTTTAATTTTAATTATCCTTGAAGCTCTAGGAGTTTTTTTCTACCAGCTACCTTCACATCAAAGTCTTCTGGCATTCTGAACAATCTTTAGGATTACTGTATGAAACCATCTTAAGAGTGAAGGCATCAGCTAGTATAACTTGCAGAGTGAAAAACTTTCCCCTAATTTGTTATATTAGTAAAAACAGTATAAAGATGCATTGACAAGTAACTATGTGCCAAAAAGTAATTGATGTTTGACGCTGAACTAATTAGAGTGATTATATGCTTCAAAACAGCTGGTGTGTCAAGAGGGTGTGTAGGGCAATGACTGTGGACCTGCAGCCTAAAAAATATGAAAACATATTTTTCTTTTTTTTTTTATTCAAGTGATTTTTACATATCAATGTGTGAAATAAAAAAAACAAGTGTTGTTTGAAGAGCTTACAAAATTATTGTTTTTCACAATGTACATGTAGGAGGTATTTATTTGAGTTTTCTAAATAAAATATTCTTAATTTGGAGTGGGCACCCTGCCTATTTTTCCCAGAGGAAAAAAAGGACATGAAATTAACTAGTTAACCAATCAGTAACTGATATGCAAATATTGTCCATCGCAACTTCCTCCATGATGAGGACATAATATATAATTCCATTATATACAGGGAATATATAATTTCCTGTAAGACAGGGTGTTTTATTATCTCTAATGAATCATGAAAGAAATGTAAACAATTAAAAGTCAGGTGAACTTCCACTTTGAATTCCCTTTTTAGTGAAGCAGAAGAGCCAAGTTATTTTAGCTCAGTGTGCTCATTTCTCCATTCAGGATTAATGGACAAACCACATGGACTGTTTTCTCATCTGGAAAACAAGGCTGTTTCAAAACTGATTACTACAACCATCCTAGCTGAAAAACAGTGTTGACAGGTTTACTGCAAAGAGTTCCTTCCTTAGGTTTAATAGTTTTTCTTAGCTTTTCATGTATACTCCCTTACAAAATAAACACATACAGTATAACAAAAGTAAGAAGAAAGGTGAGTCCAGTAACATGAACACGACACAATTAGGAACTAGGGAACATGGCACCTTTTAGAATAAAGTGCTCCGGCCCTTTTTTAATCTTCCAATATTCCTTTCTCTTTAAGATGCAGATAATAAAGAGAGAAATTAAGCAATAGTTTGTTTTGCTGGCTGTCATATCCTGAGTCTGAAAGATTTAATTCAAAAATGAATATTTGTATCCATTAACATGGGACCCTGAGATAATCTTAAAGCTGTGAGGAGAAGGTTGTAGCCTACTGAAGTAATCCAAAGGGTCAAAGCATCACAATATGAACAATTCCAAGGAGTCTGTCATGAAAAAAGGCTTGCATATAAGATAGCACATTGCTCAGTCATCTTATAATTACTGGAGTGCATTATGAGGAAATTACACGGAAGATACTGCACAAGAAGAAACACCAGAGTGAAGACACGAAGTAAAGAACAAAATGTACATGCAATTCAATGTGTAAAGTCAGGTCAGAGACAGGACATCACCTTAAGAAGAGACAGTGGGGGGACGCACAGGAAACATGCTGGAAAGATGTGAACATGAAGAAACCCTGGGATGCTATTGTAACGCTTAAGGCCGACAGGCACTGTGTAAGAGCCGGCGTACCAGAGCAGGTGATGTCACCGCCCTTCCCTGTGATAGCAGGACTACAGCTACTGGGCTGTAGGGAGATCTCTCTTTAGCTCACGGGGCTGGGTCGCTGCAGAGAGACGCGGGAGTCCCGGGTTCGAGCCTCAGTCGGGATGGGGCCGACCTTATGCGGCAAGGGCGCCTGCCTGAGCCCCCGTTGCGTTACACTATTATAGCAATGCAAAATTGTATTTTAGTCAAAGTTTGAAGTTGGTCTAAATGTAGTGATTGAAGTACCAAAATGACAGTCTTACTTGTCACTGCTCCACT